ACATGTCTGTCTCTCATATGTCTGTCTCTCACATGGCTGTCTCTCACATGTCTGTCTCTCACATGTCTGTCTCTCATATGTCTGTCTCTCACATGGCTGTCTCTCACATGTCTGTCTCTCATATGTCTGTTTCTCACATGGCTGTCTCTCATATGTCTGTCTCTCACATGGCTGTCTCTCACATGTCTGTCTCTCATATGTCTGTCTCTCACATGGCTGTCTCTCACCTGTCTGTCCCCAGGGTCCTCTCACTGATATCTCTAAACGGAGTCGCAGTGCAAAGTTTTGTCTCGTCCCGAAGTTCAAAAAAGAAAAAAACAACAAGAACAGAGAAACATCTACCTGTCTGTCTCTACCAGGTGAGCTGTACCTGTCTGTACCTGTCCCTCTTACCTGTCTGTCTCTACCTGTCTGTCTCACCTGTCTGTCTCTACCTGTCTGTCTCACCTGTCTGCCTCACCTGTCTGTCTCACCTGTCTGTCTCACCTGTCTGTCTCTACCTGTCTGTCTCAACTGTCTGCCTCACCTGTCCGTCTCACCTGTCTGTCTTCCTGTCTGTCTTCCTGTCTGTAGTTCATCAGTGGGGGACGGAGGAGGTGGGTATCTGGCTGGACTTCCTGTGTCTCTCAGAATATAAAGACATCTTCGTTGGACACGACGTTCGCGGAGCTGAACTCATCCACCTGGAGAGGAGGGACCTGAAGGTAGAGCGCTAACGGCTAAGTGCTAACTGATAACTGCTAAAGACTTACCGCTAGAAGCTAACAAAACTGTGTTTTTTGTGTGTGTGTGTGTGTGTGTGTGTGTGTGTGTGTGTGTGTGTGTGTGTGTGTGTGTGTGTGTGTGTGTGTGTGTGTGTGTGTGTGTGTGTGTGTGTGTGTGTGTGTGTGTGTGTAGGACCTGGGAGTGACGAAGGTGGGCCACATGAAGAGGATACTTCAGGGAATCAGAGAGCTGAACAGGAACAGCAGCGCCAGCGAAGCCTGAGGTTATTACTCTTATCGTTAAAATATAAATACATGTTATTAATAACTTATAATATATTGATCTGTTGACCCTCAGGTCTGTGACATCACATCTGAGCTGTGATTGGACGAGTGCCTAAACATGAGCTACCTGCAGTGAGCGCTGAGCAACACTTCATCACCATTTATATTATTATTACTTTTATTAGCAATATTATTCTCATTAGTATCATCAGAGCGGCCTTATCGTGACGTCTGAGTCTCTTCAGGGAACACAGAGCTGATGGCCAATCAGAACCCTTTAAACCATGTGGTGCTAGCTGCTAGCTGGCTCGCTGTTCTTCCCACAGGCCCTACCCCGGAGCCTGCGGTCTTCAGACTCTGGCCCCCCGCACCAACCTGCGATCCTTCGGGGACAGAGCCTTCAGTGTGGCAGCCCCCACTCTCTGGAACGCTCTCCCTGCGGAGATCCGCAACATCCCCACGCTTAAAGACCTTCAAAAGGGCCCTCAAGTCCCATCTGTTCACCAAGGCCTTTGGCCCCAAATCTATTTGTTGTTTCATCTAAACTGTTCGTCTGACTGCCTTTTGTTTTGTTATGTTTGTTATGTTTGTTTATACTCCAGTTCTTCCTTCTAAAGCGACCTTGGGGATTATGAAAGGCGCTATAGAAATCCAAGTTATTATTATTATGTGACCAGGGTCAGCCAACAGGAAGCGGAGAATAAAACTGATTAAATATTCATTTCTGCTTAAGAAACTGACGAGGAGCCAATCAGGAGGTCCCAAATACCTACCTGTCTCTACCTGTCTGTCTCTCTACCTGTCTGTCTCTACCTGTCCGTCTCTACCTGTATGTCTCTACCTGTCTGTCTCTACCTGTCTGTCTCTACCTGTATGTCTCTACCTGTATGTATCTACCTGTCTCTCTCTACCTGTCTCTCTCTACCTGTATGTCTCTACCTGTCTGTCTCTCTACCTGTCAGTCTCTACCTGTCTGTCTCTACCTGTCTGTCTCTACCTGTCTGTGTCTCCAACTATCTGTCTCTAGCTGTCTCTCTCTACCTGTCTCTCTCTACCTGTATGTCTCTCTACCTGTCTCTCTCTACCTGTCTCTCTCTACCTGTATGTCTCTCTACCTGTCTCTCTCTATCTGTCTGTCTCTACCTGTCAGTCTCTACCTGTCAGTCTCTACCTGTCTGTCTCTCCACCTGTCAGTCTCTATCTGTCTGTCTCTCCACCTGCCTGTCTCTACCTGTCTGTCTTTCAGGGACCATCAGATCAGTTTTTGTCTATAATAGTATTTTAGTATTTTTCTGTAAGCTGTTTGAGATAACAGAGGAAACGCTGATGATGTTTGTATCAATAAAGTTTCATATCCAGTTCTTGTGACGTCTCTGTGTTTTATTAAAGAGTCCCTATTCTTCTAGAGGAGACACTACATACTGATATACACCTGAACATCAGCAGGAGAGGACTCTTTAAAGTAGAGACACTACATACTGATATACACCTGAACATCAGCAGGAGAGGACTCTTTAAAGTAGAGACACTACATACTGATATACACCTGAACATCAGCAGGAGAGGACTCTTTAAAGTAGAGACACTACATACTGATATACACCTGAACATCAGCAGGAGAGGACTCTTTAAAGTAGAGACACTACATACTGATATACACCTGAACATCAGCAGGAGAGGACTCTTTAAAGTAGAGACACTACATACTGATATACACCTGAACATCAGCAGGAGAGGACTCTTTAAAGTAGAGACACTACATACTGATATACACCTGAACATCAGCAGGAGAGGACTCTT